TTTCGCCTATCAAACAACCAAAAAAGTGGAAAATGAAAAATATTTTTCCACTTCCCCGAAAAATGTGGCCTATCAAACAATGGCCTTAATGTTTTAATGTTTGATGAATTTGATCACCTCACTGAAAGTGAAGTTTTATTTCCATCTGTCTGGTTTCTACATTTCTACCTTTGCTAATTTTCCCCAAGCAGAAATCGGTGCATACAGCCGGCTTAGGTTTTTTTTTTTAGTTCTGGTTTTGTGTTAAGCGGTCAAAGTCATGCTCAAACTTATGAGTAGTTTTTTTATAATTTTTGTATAAATTTATTAGTGATAAGTGATATTTTATTTATAAGTAATTTTTTACATATAAGTTAATTTTTAATTTAAAAACGTCAATATTTACTTATGATTAAAATTAAAATTTATAAGTATTTTTTACTCATCAATTAAATTTTACTGTTATAAGTTCAATTTATACTTATGAGTAGTTTTTTACACGTAAGTGAATTTTTTATTTATAACTTTTTTATTTTATTTTATAAGCTATTGTTTGCGTAAACATACATTTTTGTTTTATGTGAATTTTTTACTTATAAAGGAACTTTTTGCTTATAAGTAAATTTTAGTTATTGTATATTTTTTTTATTTATAAGCAATTCTTTTTACGTATAACTGAATTTATGTCCTTTTTAATAATTATTTTAAAAAGGTAAAATTAGAAAAAAAAAAAAAAAATTTTGAGAAAGGCAAAAAATTGTTGGTTTGACTATTGAAAAATACAATCAAAATTACACTAACAAAAATAGCCCAAAATCAATAATTGTCACTCATTTTCCCAACCAATCATAAACGATGCCAACTAAAAACAATCAATCATCTCCTTAGAAAGAGGTGTTTATAAAGTAATGTCGTTTTCGTAAGTTGTTCGATTTGATTGTCCCTTTTTACTATTTAATTGCACACTTTCTGCTAAAAATTCATCTTCAAGATGCTATTTACGCCTCCTCCGATGCATATTTTTTGACGTGAACTTTTCATGAATCAGATAGTGGAAATGGTGAACACTCCCCTGCACGGCTTTCTAGAAGTCCTGCTAATAATGGCTCGAGGACTCCTCAACTGAGGAAAACGACGACCACCAAGTCACCTGCATCTAGTAGTTCCTCTGCAGCCAGCAACCACAAAATAAGTCTAAAAAGCGAAAACAGGAAGTCGAGTACTTCTAGGTCGGATTTTAGGAAAAACTTTCGATCTCGTGTGGTTCCTTGTAATGGGAGTGAAGATACTGTTTTGGATATGGCTGCCCACAATGCTGATGAATGCGAACTTGGGAACCAAATAGAGTTTGAGGATCTTACGTTGATTCGCAAACAGCTTTTGCAGATCGAAGACCAGCAATCTAGTTTGTTGGAACTCCTCCAGGTACTTCTCTTACTGATAAAAATTTACCCGACTGGAAAGAAACATGACGTCTTAGCTTCTACGTTGGAAGCTTGCTCGTCTTTTGGAGCGTGTATGTTAAATTATCGCTGATGTGATCTTTGTTTTCTCCTAGTGTTCTTGTTTACATGGCAAGAACTGATTTCCACTATTCCCACCTTTTATTTCAGAGATTTATTGGAAGCTCCCAGAAGGGAATAGATTCGTTGGAAAAACGAGTAAACGGTCTGGAGAAGGTGCTGGACGAGATGTCACGTGATTTAGCTATTTCAACTAGAAAAACTCCGACCAATGATTCATGTTGTATGATACCTGGAGCAGAGTTTCTGAGTCCTAAGTTTTGGAGGAAAACCGAAGGACAAAATTCCAATTCCAAGTTCTTTTCTAGCAACCCGAATAAGGTTTTTAGTGCTGACATATCAAAGCTGGATAGCCCAAGGAATGATCTTGATTTTTAAGGAGGCATTATTTCAAATTTTGGCTGCCTAAATTAGATCAGTATGCGTCCTTTCAGTTAATTAATTAGTCGAGATTTTTAGAGTTTGTTTTGGTTAGAAAATGTACTTGTTTTTTTATGTGTATACGGAATATGTGATCGTAAGATGTTGCTATTAAATTTCTAGATAACACACGCATCGTTATTGCTATACTTCTCTAGAAAATAACCCGAGTTTGGAATTTTGAAGTTGGTTGTTTTCTACGATAATATTTCTTTTATATTGTCGTTTTCTTTTTGGTCATTTTAACGAAGATCTAAATGATAGATAATCCTTATTTGATCATTTTAACAACGCATTTTATGTGATTATTATTTTTTAATTACACATTTCATCAGCTTTTATTAAAATTTATGAAAAAATTGATTTTAGTCACATCAAACGGGCTATCTTTAAGTAGATTTATAGAGGTTATTGTCGATAGGAGATACGAGTAATGTGGTCTCAGAAAATTTGAAATTTTAATCCCACTTTTTGTTAACCAAAATGTCAATTATGAACTTAAAATTAAAATTCAGAGTTTCTAGGCTCTAGCACAAACTTGAAGACACGTTATAATTTAGCCTTTTCATTTAGTACCTTTTTGACATGAGTTTTGAAAAATCAAGTGTTTTTCTTTTGGGACTAAAAAATAGAATAATTTTTTAAAAAATATTCTGTCTAACTAAAAAATTTATAGAAAAAATTAATCTAAATTTATTAAAAAAAATTTCTAAACAATACAAGAGCAAAAGCATGTCAAACAGAAACTAAAATGCATAGAAAAATACTCAAAATGGAAAAAAGATCCCGTGAAATAATTTGAACCATTTAATTAAGAAAAAGAAAAAGAAAGAGAATGGACTAATAGCAGAAAACCCTCTAAATACGTTTTCATTTTCGATATACTCATACCTATTGAAAATTGTAGAAAACCCCACGTTTGAGACATTTTGTGATAAATACAACCTCTTTTTGTGCAAAAAACTCATATACCGTCCAATTCTGGTAATATGACTTTTAAAAACATAAAAATAATAATTGTAGTTGTGGTTTCAAACCATTTTTTTCTTTTCTTTTTGCAAATTACACCAATTTTTTTTTATTTGCACAACCCACAATTCCAAACATACAAAACTTTATTTTCTTCCCCTCTTCCACCACATCCCACCTCCAACTACCATGAAAAACAGCAAATCCCATAACTTCCACCGCCCATTACCACGAGAAGTAGAAAGACCAAATTGCTCCTCACTCTTCTTTTTACTACCTTCCCTCCAATGTCCAACCCCAAGTCGGTAGCTAGACAAAAGAGTCCTCTTTGAGCACTAGAAGAGCACCAAAACACTCGTCACCTTCTCCTGTTTTGTTGCTCGTGCAAAGCCGAAACTTAAGCCTGAGCCTATGCCTAAAAACTAGCCATGAACTGAAAATCAGGTCACATGGGTAAAATCGGCTGAGCATAAATCACCTTACACCTTTATACATTGCAAGAAACAGGTTAAAAAAGGCAGCAACATGACCCACTAACAATTTTGCCACCTTCAAACTTGCCCAACTCAACATTAATGTTTTGCTACTCACTCAAGCATCACGAAAACAGAATCCAAACCTGATTTACAACACAACCAACGGATTTGGATCTCAAAGACCATGGGAGAAATTTTCCCTTGTATTGCGATAATCGCATCCCAAATGTTGTCAAAATAAGGGAGAAAATTTCCTTGATTTGGCCAGGGGCGGAGCCAGGATTTATATTCAGTGCATGCATTTTTTCTTCGACGCCAAACATCGTCGAGTTT